CTCTGACAACATCTCCTGTTTCCTTAGAAAGACCCTGCCTTGCCTGCTCGGCCCTACGTGATCGGCCTCACGGGAGGAACGGGCAGCGGGAAATCCTCTATTGCCAAGTACCTGGAGGAGCTCGGAGCCTTCCTCATCGACGCGGACCGGCTGGGCCACGCCGTGTACGTCCCCGGGGGCCCTGCCTACGAGCGGGTGGTGGCAACCTTTGGACAAGGTAGGAAATGGAGCGTGCGGCGTCCTTGTACCCGCGGGCGTCCTCGTGTCCTGTGGCAGAACGGCCTTAAAGGGGCTGCCCGGAGACGCTCGGCTGAGCGCTGTGGTCTAGCAAGGCCTTCCCTGTCCGTTTCGGGGATAATTTGAGGAAGAGTAATGGGGAGGTCAGACCCTGGGCCTCCTCTCTAGGTCTCCCCGAGGCTCTTGTTGGAGTCTGTCATACCGTGGAGGAATAAATTGGACTGTTTTGCTCTTATTCCGCAGAAATATTGAATGAAGATGGGACGATTAACAGAAAAGTCCTTGGGGCCAAAGTGTTTGGAAACCAGGTAAAATGAGTGCAGAGAATGTCAATATTTAATCTGCTGAGCAAGGGACTCCCCGCCTGCACCGAGGCTTTTTATTTTTCAGCCCCGTGTGACTTGGGCTGGCCCCAAGTGGGGCTCAGTGCCCCAAGCTCTGCTCTCCCGTTTTGGCCGGGCCAAAGCTTTGGATTTCGCTCCGGTGCCGCGGGTTGTCCCAGCCAGGCAGGTTCCTGTCGGCCCGACGGCGGCTGCCGCCCTCGCTCCTCACGGGAGGCTCTTTGGAGCTCCTGGAACCAGAGCAGGGGAGGGAGGACGGGGCCCCTGCGCCACCGGGAGAGCCCCCTGCCCCAGGGAGGACCCTGCTCTGCCCGCGCGCGATGGGCTCGGGTGAGCGGGTCTTCTCTCAGCGCCCTCTGCGATGGCCCCTCTGCCACCAGCGGTTCTGACAGCAAATGACAACAGACCCGTCGTGGTTCCTTCCTAGGAGCGGCTGAAGGCTCTCACGGACATCGTGTGGCCTGAGATTGCCCGGCTGGTGAAGAAGCAGGTTGGGGAAGCAGCCGCTTTGGGTAAGCGGGCGCTGCCGTTGCGGCTCACTGCGGGGATTCGGGTGTGCAGCTCTGTGGGGCTGCCCCAGAGCCAGGGCAGCCTTGGCAGCAACGCAGGGATTTTCCATGTTCCAAACCCTGTTACTTGCTGGGCGTTTGCTGGGAATTCTCGCTGCTCCTAGCACATCTCCGAGCAAATCCATCCATTCCATTCGGCCAACAGCCGGGACATAATTCAAGCTTCGTGCTCTCAAAGCTTGGGATTGCTTTCTCTGCCCCGAAAGATTTCAGGATCATTTTTGGTGCAGTGTTCCAGTAGGGAGCACGGTGTGTATTGCTCTGGGAGCAGGATATTCCCACTCCTTGGACATGTCGTGACAGCTCAATGGGCATTTTCCGAGGGCCCTTCCCTGCCATCCCGGGGGCACCGCTGGGTGTAGCCGCTGCCTGCAGCTCTTCCCACGTGGGGTTTCCCGCTCGGCGACGCGCCT